TGTCACTGTTGACTTGGTTTCTTTGTAAAATATCAACTTATTTGAGACAGGACTTTATTCCATATTGTATTTCCTCATTTCTCAGGCTACTGTAGAACACAACTTAGCAAATACTTGCAACATCATCTCGAGTGTCCACTACGGGTTACCTATGTGTTGCTGGTATAAGAGGAGATCCCTTGTTCCCTATACAGTGGCCTTTGGAGGCGGAGCATACTTGTGGGTCCCAAACTGCTGAGTAGGCTTCCTGACAAATATGCTTCTCTCTTTGGGGTCTTTCTCCCCTGGTCCTCTATGCTATCTCACTCCTAGCAGTCCATTTAGTCATGAGAGTAAATTTCAAAAGAGAAACCAACAGGCTGTGTGGCTCTCATTTTTCCGTGATGCTCAACCAAAAGCTCAATGACAGGTACTTTACCTGTCCCGAGGCTCCCTTCCTCAGCAGACCACTTTTCTTTTCTGACTTTAAAATAAAATGAAGAGGGAAGCGGCACTGAGGTCTGAATGGACAATACAAGCCCCAAACTTCCCAAACAGAAAGTTCATAGAACTAATAGATGCAGCTTAGAAAATGACTAAACCACGTACACTCGATGAATGTTCAAGCCAACAGGTAGAACTTCCAGTCACCCCCAGATCTCCCTAAGTTCCCCCACCAGACTTCTGCCTTCCTTTAAGAGTAACCACTGTGCTGTACATTGTGTCCTGCATTAAACAAGCAAATCACCACCCAGCAGTCCTTACCTAAATACCTTGGCTAACCTTGCTAGTTAAAAAGTGATGAAAGGTCTTGGCGGTTCCTTATATTCTTCATGTTGCTGTTTTATGTGGCTTTCTTTCCCCATGGATCCCTGAAGAGTCAAGGGATTTGACCTGGGGCATTTTCTGTGGCTGGAATTCTGACTACTATATACTCATGGTGTAGCTCCACATGTGTGCACACCATCTCATACTATGGGGCTGGCTGCTCTCCAGTACTCCCCTCCCCATATACCTACTACCTGGGCAATGTTTATCTAGGCAAATAAATGCCCTGTGTTCTATGAAAAGAACAGATGGTATTGATAGGCAGTAGCAAGAGGATGTTAAAAGCAAATGATGATCTACACCAGTCTTCAGGAAAAGGCCTGGATTTTAGGTCTGACCTCTTGAGCATAAGCTTCTTCTCTGGGAATTCTAGAATGTTTCTTACAAGGCTATGGTGACAGCTAAGTGAAATTATGTATATAAAGCTGCTTCACACACGACAGGAAGCTGTACATTCCAGGAGGTACCTTTTAAAGAGAATTGACCCTCAGCTGCATATGGTGATGCATGCCTGTGACCCCGGCACTTGGCAGGTAGAGGCAGGAAGATCAGAAGTTCAAGGTCACTCTCTACTGCATAGCTAGTTCAAGGCCAGCTTGGGTTACAGAGGAGACCTATCTGAAAGAAGGGAAGAAGGAGAAGAAAGGAAAGGGGTGGTAAGAATAGAAGGAAGGAAAAGGAAGAGGGAAGAGAATGAAAGGGAGGAAAAGAAAAGAAAGAAAAAGAAACAGGGATAGGGAAAAGGTTCAGTACGCAAGTGTTTGCCCTGAGCTTGGATCCCCAGTACTCATGTAAATGCAGAGCATGGAAGCACACATCTATGGCCCTGCACTGGGGTGATGGAGACAGACGGATCCCGGGGACTTGCTAGCCAGCCAGCCTAACTGAAATGGCAAGCTCCAGGTTTTGTAACAGACTGTCTCAAAATATAAGTTGGAGACTGATGCAGGAAAACAACTAACATTGACTTCTGGCTCCACATATGCACACAGGTAAACAACCCTCCATGCATATGCAGGCACATACAACACCCCCACCTGCCCCACACAC